GACCTATATATTCAACGGGTGCCGTCTGTCGGCGAGATCGCTGGATAACAGTACTGATCGAGAGTTTACTGCCGTTAAAGAAGTACAGTACAGCGAATTAACGTATTTGCACACACGACATAACAACGTATGTATGTAACAGACGATTACAATATACACAATATATATTCAATATATAATATCACAACAACCAATCATTATTCGAACTAGCTACATGTGACCCCGGGCGTGACCCGCATAACCCCGCCGACAGCCCGGTCAACCTGCCGCCATTATAGGACAGCATGACCGAAAGAGTGTGTGCGATACGTTTGAGTTTATACGCGGAATAAATGTATTCTATCGCCATCAATTATCTGGAGAAGCAGCGAAGAGACGAAGACTACACACGGAGATTGTTATGTTCGTGTGGCATCATTACACGTAGATACATTTTAATGATTTGTTATGGGTTCGGTGTGTGATGGGATTTGTATGTGATTTGTTGCGGGTCGAACCTGAGATAGCGAAGACGTGGACGCGGTGTACGTTCGTTGGATTTGCGGCATCGTTTCTAGACGGATGTGATCTGCATAGATTAAATCAAGGTATGTGTATAGGAGGGTGACATTAGGTGACTGTATATATATATAGTACTTTGTGTACTTCTACCCACAGGCTCCAAGTGCCTGTGTTTGTGTACAGTGACGTGCGTGCGGTGAAGTTGTGTGGCAGAAGAGCATTTGAACGGCATTTGCAAGAAATTATTAGTAACATTACTAATAATAGGCGAAAGAGGGTAGAGAAACCGCATTCCAGAAATCCTCATTTAGAAATTCTACGTTGCTTGGTAGTAAATACATTTCGTGTTTATTTACCATCATTTTATTATTGAAACGTTCCAGAGTTGGGGGGTCCTATTCCATTTCGTATGCAAGATTATTTCCGTGTTACGTATACGTATACCTAGATACGTAATTATGTATACCTAGATACAATAATGAGAGAGTAAAAGACAGAGTAGAAACAAGAGTAAGGGTAGGGGTAACAAGAGTAATCTAACCCAACTACTCTTGTTGTTTATTGTAGGCCTATCTATAACGTTATTGTATCTAACGTATTGTATCTACATTATTGTATCTAACGTATTGTATCTACATTATTGTATCTAACGTATTGTATCTACATTA